CTTGGTTGATAAAATTGTCAAAAGCCAGCATGGAATTAGCACTGTGGTCATTAAAGACCTTTTTTCAAGGCAAGTACAGGTGTAACTAACAACATCAACAGTGGCTGTGATCCAGTCTGGGCCTCAGTTTTGCGCACACTGCCTCACTGGCATGGCTTACTGAGGACGAACCATTGCTAATGTTATTAGTAACACCTCTGCTTTTCCTGCTATGAGCAGTGAAAATACAGTGCCTTGCGAAAGTATTCGGCCCCCTTGAACTTTTCGACCTTTTGCCACATTTCAGGCTTCAAACATAAAGATATAAAACTGTAATTTTTTGTGAAGAATCAACAACAAGTGGGACACAATTATGAAGTGGAACGAAATTTATTGGATATTTCAAACCTTTTTAACAAATACAAAACTGAAAAATTGGGCGTGCAAAATTATTCAGCCCCTTTACTTTCAGTGCAGCAAACTCTCTCCAGAAGTTCAGTGAGGATCTCTGAATGATCCAATGTTGACCTAAATGACTAATGATGATAAATAGAATCCACCTGTGTGAAATCAAGTCTCCGTATAAATGCACCTGCTCTGTGATAGCGCAGAGAGCATCATGAAGAACAAGGAACACACCAGGCAGGTCCGAGATACTGTTGTGGAGAAGTTTAAAGCTGGATTTGGATACAAAAAGATTTCCCAAGCTTTAAACATCCCAAGGAGCACTGTGCAAGCAATAATATTGAAATGGAAGGAGTATCAGACCACTGCAAATCTACGAAGACCCGGCCGTCCCTCTAAACTTTCATCTGTCAGATGAAACCAATATCAAACTTTTTGGCAACAATGTAAAACGTTATGTTTGGCATAAAGGCAACACAGCTCATCACCACCCACACACCATCCCCACTGTCAAACATGGTGGTGGCAGCATCATGGTTTGGGCCTGCTTTTCTTCAGCAGGGACAGGGAAGATGGTTAAAATTGATGGGAAGATGGATGGAGCCAAATACAGGACCATTCTGGAAGAAAACCTGATGGAGTCTGCAAAAGACCTGAGACTGGGACGGAGATTTGTCTTCCAACAAGACAATGATCCAAAACATAAAGCAAAATCTACACTGGAATGGTTCACAAATAAACATATCCAGGTGTTAGAATGGCCAAGTCAAAGTCCAGACCTGAATCCAATCGAGAATCTGTAGAAAGAACTGAAAACTGCTGTTCACAAACGCTCTCCATCCAACCTCACTGAGCTCGAGCTGTTTTGCAAGGAGGAATGGGCAAAAATTTCAGTCTCTCGATGTGCAAAACTGAGAGACGTACCCCAAGCGACTTACAGCTGTAATCGCAGCTAAAGGTGGCGCTACAAAGTATTAACTTAAGGGGGCTGAATAATTTTGCACGCCCAATTTTTCAGTTTTTAATTTGTTAAAAAAGTTTGAACTATCCAATAAATTTCGTTCCACTTCATGATTGTGTCCCACTTGTTGTTGATTCTTCACAAAAAATTACATTTTATATCTTTATGTTTGAAGCCTGAAATGTGGCAAAAGGTCAAAGTTCAAGGGGGCCGAATACTTTCGCAAGGCACTGTATCTGCTGTAAAAACAGTGTCTGTTTTGTGACTAAAAAACTACAAAGGAAGACACAGTTAAGTTACACCACATATTGTATATACAGTTTTACCCTGCTCATCTCCTTTCTTGATATATATCCCTGTTCTGTTTTTCTTCTCAGGTTCTCAGTAAACAGAAGGATATTTGTGGTTGGGTTCGGTCTCTACGGCTCTATACACGGACCCACAGACTACCAAGTTAACATACAGGTGTGGACCCCAACCCCATAGAAATTCTGTGTCTGGTTTCACTATATGTTAAAGGCATGAAGTATAACATATTTAGGATATTTGTGTCTGCTCTGTCTCTCTCAATGCAGATCATTCACACAGACAGTAACACGGTGCTGGGCCAGAACGATACAGGCTTCAGCTGTGATGGGTCTGCAAACACCTTCAGAGTCATGTTCAAGGAACCAGTGGAGATATTACCCAACGTCAACTACACTGCCTGTGCTACACTAAAGGTCTGTGAAGTGTTGGTAATAACACCACATAAACATAAACTATAGTTGTGTTTTCAAGAGCTGCAACTAACGATTATTTTAATTATTGATGAATCTGCTGATTAATTTCTTGATTCATTGTTCTGTTAAAAATGTGTCCAGTCTAAAAATCTATCTAATGTGTTCAATGTACTCAAATAGAAGACAAAGCCAGACAAATCTTCACAGTTGAAGCTTAAATAATTATTCGATTGTAAATAATAAAATTTCTATCGACTTTTCATTTCAGCTCTATCTAATGTGTTAGTGTTGGCTCCAGCAGTGCATTCAACCTCTTTGTCTGTCTTACAGGGCCCAGATTCTCATTATGGGACTAAGGGAATGCGAAAAGTGACACACGAGTCATCATCCACTGGCACCAAGACGTGTTTCACCTTCTGCTACGCAGCAGGCAACAACAACGGCACTTCTGTAGAGGACGGACAGATTCCTGAGGTCATCTTCTACACATAGTCCTCTCTGACATAGCAACGATCTTCCATCAAATGTGACAACCTGACACCAGCCCGGGGCCACACCTCAGCAGCCGTACTGGGGACTAATCTCTCAGACATCATACTGTTCCCTCCATATAGTGCACTACTGTCGGCCATATGGGAGGCCAAACAGCCGTAAAGCGGAGTAGGTCACTACATGGGGCATAGCTTGTCATTTGAGACGCTGTCGCTCTCTTTCTCAGTGGCTTCCTTTATCCCTTTGTGTTGTAGTGATGCCAGCCTCTGATACAGACATGACTGTAACTGACTCCACAAAGGAAGGAGAAGGGGAGGGAGGAGCTTCTCAGATTATTCACAGTATTAATGTCACTGCTGTGGATTGACTGTGTAAAGCTTGACACTGAATTCAACTTAAGCTGTACAATTCCCCTTCCTGCTCTCCAAAGCATTAGCGCAAAAGGAGAGTCACAACTGTATGAATGTACAGTTTATCATATTTGCCAAGAAAAGTTCCTCATCACCGTTAAGTAGAGACCAGCATTTCACTCAATTCCAAATCAGCTGTAACTTCCACAGACTCATAGACCTCATGGCTTTATGAACTCTTGGTGAATTTGAACCAATCTCCACATTAATCTTAACAACATGATCATGATAAGCAATTTTTGAGGGTTCTACATACAGTGCAATCTGTGATATCTTGTGTCCTTGCTTGGTAGTTGCCTATACCCAAGATACCTTGCACTTCTTGGCCTTGCATATGTTCATTTGGTTGTTGTTTGAATGCACACTAACTCTTCAGATATGTTTCTTTCTAGCTTTGTTTTAAAAAGTGTGGGCGGAAGAGCTTTCCCTCTTGGTGCGGAAGTTAAAGTGTTGTATATTAAAGTGGCATTTATTAACATTATATATGTAACTTGAAATAACTATTGATTAAAGAGTGCGGAAAATATATTGTGGTGCTTGTTTTGTTATTTTTGGTGGGGGGCCAGCGCTTAACCTATAGCAAAAATTAAACATTTTGGGAAATGCGCTACACTTTCTTGTGCAGATTTAGTGTAAGAGTAGAAGTTCATTCATTAAATATAAGGCTATGCTAAACTCAGCAGCTGGTTATCTTACAGTAGCTTAGCATAAAGACTGGGAACTACAATTACATTTTAGACCACCATGAGAACAAAATGCCATGGGAGTTCACAGTGCATAAGTACAAATACAAAAAATAGCTAAAATAGTAATTTACTAATAAACTTAAAATAAAGTGATACATTAATTTACACTCTTATTAGTGCAAGATTAAAACAAAAGGGGCTTAATTTTGGCAAGTTAGCATTGATGTACTCAATATAAAACTTAGCTGAGATAATTGTAAGACTAATAATGTGTTTGTTATAACGTCAGAACCCAAAAGAGCACATTGCTTTTTCATTTCTTAGCTCTATGTAGTAACTTCCTAAGTTTGCATGGGAATTAAGATTTTTTTTTACACAAAACATATGTAGAGCTTGTAAAATGTCTAATTGTCTACCCAACAGTTTATAGTACAGCTGAAATAGTTAGTTGATTGACACATTGAGATTAACTGGCAACTATTTAGGTAATTGTTTTTGTCATGTTTCACGTAAAAACATTTCATTTCAGCTTCCCAAATCTGAGGAGATGCTCCTCTTCATAATTATTTTTAATAATTTTGATGATTGTACTATTGGTTGGACAAAACCAGCACTGTGAAGGTGTCACTTTGGCTACAGGGTAATAGTGACAGCATTTCTAACTATTTTCAGACTTTTTACAAACCAAACAATTGATTAATAAAATGTTGCTCACACATTAATGCATGAGTAATAATAATCTAACGATATATTGTAATATCACTCACATCTATTTTTCTGCATTTAGTACTTTTACTTTAAATACTTCAAGCATATTTCCCAAAATATTGAACTATTCCTTTAAGCCCACCAGAGAAATAATAAATTTCAGGAGTCACATTTTCATCAAGAGTTTAATGTTTTTATTAATGACATTTACTGAACAAAGGTCCAGTCCCGGTAGTTTGACTTCTGAAACACTTATTGTGGTTTCCATGGTTTTATCTGGCCATGATCCATCTAAATACGCATTATTGCAGCAGTATCACAGTGCAATTTTACAGGCCCATCCTGGTAGATGAGGGGGGGGGGGGTAATGTGGAGGGAAAAAAACATGAAATACAACTGCTTTGATCCAATTGTTCCCCAAAACCCTCGCCCTAGGCACTTGGTGTACTGTAGCTGTGAAATGAAAAAGCATTGCAGCTTCCACTAGCCTACAACAAAAACTTAAGCTTTGTTTCTGCTCCGGAATCAAAGTCAAAACCATTTGTGCGATGTACCTTAAGACTGTGCAAAGATTTTAAAGTGCCCACGGGATAGGGTTTAGAGATTTATTTGGTATTTTATAATCCGGGGTTGGTGATTATAGTTTATCCAAGTAGTTGTCAAGGGCAGGAATGCCCTCTTTCAGACCTTTACGTTTCCTGATTTCAGCAACAATCTGGAAGGGTTTGCTGGTGGCGTCACTGGGGTCTCCGGGGAGAATTTGCCAGTGGTCGAACACACACTGAGGAAAGGCCTGGCCCCCAGTGTTACTGCGCAGGTCAGCTGTGAACCCTGCAGGTAATAAATACATATAAATAGTTCATTCACTGATTCACTGATATGGATCTTCACGTACAGAAGCTTTAATTTAATCTTTGGAGCTTTCCAGTAGTCTCTCCTTGACCCAAGTTTTTATAAATCATGAAGACTTTCCATAGAAGTGCTAGACTAAACGAGATGAATTACTCTTAACATATTGTTGCATTGAAATTGTTGAAAATCTTGAAGATTCATATAATATTTATCATGAAACTACAGTAAGAGTTTGATCCCACAACGAAAGACATGGCACAGTACAGAATAAAACACACTCACCAAAGGATTCATTGACAGGCAGGTAGGCTTTCACCACAAAAATGGGTGTGCCCATCACTTGGGATTCCTCAAACACGTGACCTCGTTTCCTGTTCAACACACCATAGATCCCACCGACCACCTGCTCCGGGCACTGCATGGACAAGAGGTCAACCATGAGTGAACAGGCATCAGAGAGTTTTCAAACATAATACTTATGATGAGTAAAGTGGCATGGGGGCAATATTATCCCAACAAGATACAATCATTAAGAAAATAAATTTGATAACTTAAGTCATTTTGGTAAATCAGCAAAACTTCTATAGATCTATAATAGTTGTTTCCTTGGAGTTGTAGGTTTAAATGAATCCACACAGAACATAATCAAATTTACAGGACTGATTTACTGCTGGATACATGTCACGGTCTTCTTTTCAGGATTTATTTTGAAAGCAATCTGCTTCCCTACACACCTGTATCTCCACCAAGTATATAGGCTCCATGAGTCGGGGCTGAGCGGTGAGCTGGCTGGCATACAGGACCCTACGAGCTGTGGGAATGATCTGTCCTCCACCACGGTGGATGGCGTCTGTGTGGAGTGTCACGTCATGAATCTCAAAGCGAACTGCGCGCATGTTCTCTTCACATAGAGCACCCTGCAGGAGAAGGTACAACATCACAAATGTGTGTCAAAAAAATCTACAAAATGTTGCATTTGATTAAAGAGAGCTACAAATTTAAAATGTGCTTGCAGTCACAGTTATCTGCTGCCCACCTCTTTAGTTGCCCACTGGAAACCAGCCACCACGCTGTCCTTGATCTCGTTGAGGTACTGAACCCCCTTTGTCATGTCTATCAGCAGGTTGGCCCCAGTTCCGTCTGGACCGAAGCACCAGATCTTCCTGGCTTCTGTCACCTCCCACTCATACTTGTCAGCGAGGTAACGCGCACGAGCTTTGAGCTCCTGCCGTGCGGTGACATCCCCCTTCTCAATGTCTTCAGCCAGGCCGTCGGGGAAGGGACGGGACTTCATGAAGAGACGATTGTGCTTGTTTGGGGACTTGGAGAGACACATCTGGTCTGATTCTTCCATCACCGTCTCTCTGTAAGACACGACTGGGTCTGATTTCTGGAGAGAGATGAAGGAAAAGGCAGTCAAAATTAAGAATATGGGTGAGTATGCAAATATGTGAGGATCAAATGTGTATTTGCTGTGTTTTATTTCTTAAAATAATTTTTTATGAAAGGATAGTTCTAGTTATTAGGGGTCCAAGCCCGAGTGGGCTGGGAACCCTATTGTTTTATTTTTATGTTTTTATTCTTCCGTACGTTTTCGTCTAATTCCACTACTGCAGCCTAGATGGTAAGTGCTACGGACGCGAAACTCACAGGGTAGGTTCAGGCCCATGAGACGACGTCATGCGAAAAAATTCGCTCACTTCGACCACTAGGGGAGCGCTGCAAGTAAGGTCCAAATTTGGCACATTCAAATCGCTGTAACTCCCGCATACAGTGGCGGATATCAAAAACCTTACATCCACGCGTCCGAGGGATCGAGCTGAATCTCGTGGTATAGGCCACACCCATTTCCACCTAGACTTTTTCTTCGCTACATCGCGAAAACTGAAAAACCTATTTTAATTAACTACTCCGAAGCCGCACGTCCGATCGACACCAAACTTGGCACGGATAATCTCTTGACCAAGCTGATGAAAGGTTGTAGAGGAAATTTTGATCTGACAAAAAATGTTGCAATTATATGCTAACAAATGTTTGTGAAAAACGCTACTAACAGGAAATTATGTCATATCTTAGCTTTGGAATGGCCGATCAACACCAAATTTGGAGCGTTAATGTGGGACGTCCCCCTGAGGGCCTGTGCAAAATTTGGTACAGTTAGCCCCTAGTTGGCACTATTGAAAAAAATCCCATTGACTTACATGCATTTTATATCTCCATAACCGCAAGTCCGATTCAAACCAAATTTGGGTCAATTCTTCCCCATGGTCATCTGATGACACCTGAAAAATTTCGTTCAATTCGGATTCTAGGTGACATGATAATTGAAGCTGAAAGGCCGTGGAAAATCCCATTGAAATGAATAGGATTTCCAACCATGCCACATTTTAGCTAGGTTTGGAATGGCGGTTCAACACCAAACTTGGGGTCCTTATGCGGCACGACCGATCCAAACAGTGGATCACTTCACAAATCTGAGGTAGAACATTCAAAAACAATTTTGAAAAAATCTTTGACAACAAATATGCATGAGTAAAAACAGTAAAAGCTTTTTTCAGTTCTTTTTTTCTCAACAAAATAACATCTTTATAAAAAATTAAGTCCTAATTTGTGTATGATTCAAGTGAATAAAATCAAACATATATATTGAATATTTATTGAACATTTATTATATTGTTATTGCGGTAATTATTGTTATTGTTTTATTGGCCAGCCCTATTTACTAGTTACTAGGGCCTTATTTTCCTAACTTTGCAGATGAATAACTGTTCAAATATGTAGCACAAGTTCCTCTGTTCTCCTTGTCCCACCTTCAGTGGAATGCAGGCATGGTCCTCCTCCAGGTCCTTGAGACAGATCTCCAGGTGCAGCTCTCCCGCTCCAGCAACGATGTGCTCCCCAGACTCCTCGATGATGCACTGCACCATGGGGTCGGACTTGGCCAGACGCTTCAGTCCCTCGACCAGCTTGGGTAGGTCAGCGGGGTTCTTGGCCTCCACAGCAACTCTGACCACAGGGCTCACGCTGAACTTCATCACCCTCATGTTGTGGGACTGCGGACAGAACCAGAGTCATCAAGCTAGAGACTTATTCAATTTGTGTTGTTATAGGAAGAATTATGTTAACAGCAAGCAATAACTCAGTATAAAGCACCAATCATCCACTGTGTGGTGCAGCAGTATTTAAACTAAATTAGATGTCCATGCAGGTAAAATAAAAGGATGACGCTACTTGTTCATAGGTGGTAATGGTCCCTGTCTTAACCAGGAACTGGTCTACTCCAACAAGACCTGCGATGTTGCCACATGGGACATCTTCAATAGGCTCCACATACCGGCCCATCATCAGAACGGTCCTGGAAGTAAGAGAAGAAGGGCATGGTTATAAAAAGTTGCCAACGTGTAGGAAGAGAAGCATGAATTTTGAACTTGTGTTCCTTGTTCTCCTGCCATCTCAGGAGATGCTCACCTCTGGATAGGTTTGATGTAAAGGTCCTCCTTCTTGCCAGGAGCGAAGTTTGGCCCCATGATGCGCACCTTCAGGCCAGTGGACACGCAGCCAGAGAACACACGACCAAAGGCATAGAAACGACCCTTGTCGTTGGTTGGGACCATCTTGGAAATGTACATCATCAGAGGAGCCTTAGGATCACAGTTCTTAATACCTGAGAAGACAGCAGAGACGGTAGGCCCTAATTATAGCATAGCCAAAATAAAGCTAATAAATCAGGCAATTATTTTCAAAATGTTCCAGGTGCTGCGGTGCTGTTAAAATCTTCCACTGACCCATGGCAGCCTCGTCGTCTCCCGGCCCTTCATAAAGCAGCTCACAGCGGTATTTCTGTGCAGTGACGGGGGAGGGAAGGTGGATGGTGATCATCTGGAGCAGGGCCTCTCCGGCAGGCAGCCAGCGACGCATCACAGCCTTCAGCAGTGGCTTTCCCTCTTTCTCCTTGTCCTCTGAGTCTAGTTTGACATCCAGCTTCTCAATTAGTTTGGCTATCTCATCCTTTTTGAAATTCATGATGGCATCAAACACCTAGGAGGACAGTGAGAGAGGGCAAAAAGATGTCGTCAAACTCGAGCCCAAAGGTGTCGCCTTAAAGTCATCCTTAACTTTTGGTATGTTGTGATCTTTCAAATTATTTTGATGGCATACGTTTCGTTTGTAGAACAATTGTAGACAATACTAAAAGGGTGCACTTTATGTTTTGCTTTTAGCCACTCCATCTTAGTGTCCTACACTCCTATATCTAGGCACTTTGTTTTAACAGCACAGAGACGTATGAAGGTCACCAGAAAAATTGTGTCCTGACTTAGTTAAATTGTATGTTTATGTCACTTTTTCATTCACCTTAAAGATGGGGTCCAAAACGAGCTGACAGAAGGTGCGGGGAAGTTTCTGGCCATTGGGACCGGTGGCGGTCTTACTGAACTTGCCGGCATTTGGGTCAAAAAATCTGTAAATATAAATTATCGCATAACATCAAACACACAAATGATTTATCTAGCTCATAATCCTGTTTTTTCTTATTAGGATAGGAGGAGAACATTTTAAGAGGCAACTTAACATCACTGTTGGGTGTGGTTACAGGTGCAACAGAGCACAGCTTTTCAGCCTTGTGTTAAGTTACCCTTTACAGTATGTGAAGCATATTTCTGTTTGGACGGGCCATTATGTTTACCTTTCTCCCCACAGTTTCTTCATCATGTCCTCCACTTTCTTACACCTTTCTGCTGCTCCCAGCTGAACATCTCCTTTTGTGAACTTAGCCACGTACATCTCAGCAAACTGCTTCAAGGTGAAAGCCCAGCCATGGAGTCCAGAGCCAAACCCGACTGTACCAACAACAGGGTCAATCTGAGGAAAAAAGGTATTGTATTGGGTAAACTTGCAGTATAGTGAATGTATAGCAACATTTGTCAGCCATTTGTAAATAAGTTTGGCATTTCTGCTTTATTATGATAGTTATAGCTGGAGAAAGACAGGAAAGGGCAGGGGAGAGAGAGGGGGAAATGGTGAGTATGAGTGCTATTTGAGCATCTGCCTTACCATGATGTTCCCCATGGGTCCCCCCTCATCCTCTCCATAGGTGGAGATAATGACGTTGACATTCTCCACGATACGCTGAAAGGTCTGGAAGAGCTCATCGGGCTCCAGCTGTAGCTCAAGTAGGGCTCGGTCCATCTTGTTCATCATCAGAACCGGCTTGATGCGCTCAGCGATGGCCTGCCGCAGTACGGTCTCAGTCTGCACACACACACCTGTCAGAGGGAACAAACGGGTGAGTCTAGGTGAAAAGCGAGACTGCGTGCTTGTTGAATGGGGAGGCGAGGGTGTCAGCCACTTTTGGAATTACCTGAGACACAGTCCACCACCACCAGGGCTCCGTCCGTTACCCTGAGCGCAGCAGTGACCTCAGAGGAGAAGTCAACGTGACCCGGAGAATCAATCAGGTTGATGAGGAAACCGTTTCCGTCTATAGTCTGCTTGATAAATGCCAGGTCGTTTTCTCCAAGCTCATAGTACATAGAGATGGCCCTGAAGAACAGAGAGGAACAGGAAAAGGCTGGGAACATGTTCACTGTTCACATTTCTCTACCACTTCAGCATTAAAATAAATGTTAAGTAAAGGATGGATCAAATAAAGTTGAATTAAATGAGTTCAACTGAATGAATTTACATACTGAGTCATCTCAATACTGGACTCCGATGAGTCAGACGCTCTTCTAACTTATATGGGGCAGACATCTTGAGTGGAAACTTACCAGTTCAAATGCTACAAACAGGTTTGACTGGAATGATTTCAGTTAATATGTAGTGGTGCGAATCAGTGTCAGTGCTGGTGCATTTCCTGGAATCAGACAGAAACATCCTGAGTGGATTTGAAAAATGCAAAAAAATGGGAATTTAACATGACTTAACTAAGGATTTCCACAGACAAAATCTTTGTTTTGCCATTACAAATTTATCTGTGAAATCGTTTTTTTTTTTTTTTTCAATTAGATGACAAATGTAATTAAGTTAAAAACCTGCAAACAAAACAAATACCGTGGTTATGAATCAACCTACTCTGGCGTCTTACAAATTAGCTGACAGCAACACATCAGCGCCCTAAAGTAGAAATGGTGGCTGGGTAAAGGCTCAAATATGGTACTGTCAGACCAGAACCTGTGGAAGCATTTAAGTCTTTCATGTTGTGTTACAGACCCCATATACCTCTATGCAAATGGTGGACACATTCCTGGACACCTACTCTTGCTGACTTACTGATACTACAAATGCTTCTGTATGTAAAACTTAAAGTTTTGTTGTCTGAGATGATGGCACAACTTGAATTAAATCACACACATTTATATCTAATTGCTTGTTTCCAGTGAGCTCATGTAAGCGATGGCTCAAAACTGCAGGTACATTTTAGATTTGAAAGCACTGATAACCTTTGCTCTCAATCAGCATACTGTGAATGATGCAGTCTTACATACACACGCTATTTTCTGCCAAAGTTATAAAATGTATTGTTGTTTCAGTTAAGAGATGTGTGTGTGCTGATGTGGATGGGGCTTAGTTGAAAAAACTAGATGTCATTTTGATTTGAATCAAAATCTGAAGATATTTAATCTGATCAAACCACACCTACACAGTCCTGATGATTAATTAGTACATGTCCTCCCGCGAATGTAACTTGAATTGTTGCTTATTTAGTCATGAATATTTACTGTAGAGGAAAAAGTCAAGAAGTTTTCGTAACCTTTAATAAGCTCCACAAAAATAGAGCAGTTTCTAAACCCACTTCTCTGGACCACATACGTTGATTTGATGGTGATGCAGCGCTCCTGCTCATCTTTGCGTGTGTCAGTGAAGCGGGTCTCCCCAGCACGGGATGAGGCAATGATCCCCGCCTTGGACACCAGTGAGTCAGTCAGAGTGGACTTCCCATGATCCACATGGGCAATCACAGACATGTTCCTGATGTTGGACTTCTTGTCCATGATGGCACGGATCTGATCCACAGTGAAGTTCACCTGGTGGTGGGATTGAGTGATGGGAGTTACTTTCATCCATTTAAAACCAGAAGAAGATCATTTTGTTCATCATATCCATCTGTTTATTTATGTCCACTGCCAGATCTCATTCCAAGTAGAGTTATAAAAAGAAAGACATGTTGGAAACTGAATCCTTCAGCCTGACTAGGAAGAACGAGTGAGGGCACTGCATAAAGACTTTACCTTATGGTTTCTAATGAAGCAACAGATTAGGAATTACTGAGTCACTGCAGCTGAAAGGACCGAGCTGTATGCTACCATTTCACAATGGGACAGGGTGTCTTCATTTTATACCTTAAATTCCCCTTTAACTCTTGACATGAATTTTATCTTTAACAGACCAATAACAAGCACTCAGTCTGTCTTCATTTAAATGTTTAAGCAATTATAACCATTATTACCACCTAAAATGAGGCAATATAAAGCATGTATGCATACATTAAGTAAAGATTAAGACATTTTTTAAGATGATAAAGGCTTTTTAAGAGACGTCTGTCCCATTGTGTGGTAGGTATTTTCACTGTAGGCCTAAATTCAGTATTATGAATTTACTTTTAATTATAAAATAAACATAAGGATCCAGCATGATTTCACACAATATGTTAAATGCATTTAGCGCATGTTTGGGATGTCTAGACATTCACCGAGACAATCAAAGGCTCTTATATCATAATAATAATTAATTTAAGCCATTATGGCCCACCAGCCTTGTTATAAGCAATAGAGCAGGCCCGTGGCTATGACGCAATTTCTTGTAATCTCCTCTAAAACTATAATCTAGTAACAGCGGTTTCACCGCATTTGTACTAGACATGTCAGGAACATAGAGGACCATGTGTTTTATTTATTACAATATATCAACAAGATGTCATGCGACGGCAGTAGCTTGATGTTGAAGGATTTGCTATGAACGTCACAGCGAGGAAGAGCGGCCGTGCAGTAAAGGCCACAGCCCCGCAGCTTTATCAGCTGGCTGCTGCGTAGGTTGTACCAGATCACACACACAGCCTTTATCTGATCACATAACACCGCTAAGCATCGGCATCCATTTCACACACACACCTGTCAGACTCTGTAGCAGCTTGTTGCAGCGAAACTATCATAACTATTAGCCTACATGACGATAATTCGGTGGAGTGGCTGCCGCTTTTCACCTGCTGCAAATAGTTTATAGAAACACAATCAACTGAACATGTAAGCCCAGTGGCGTCTCACCATTTTGTCTGTAGATCGCTGGTCTTTCTGTGTGACGGTTTATTGCTGTAAACACTGCCTCTGAGGACCCGGCAGTCCCGTTGGTGACTGGAGAGACGCTGCTGCTGCTGCTGCTGCTGCGGCGGCTGCGGTGTCGTGTAGTGGTGCAGGACAGAGGCTGCAGCAGCGGGGGGCGCTGCTGCTCAACAGTACGATGTCACATCCGATTGCCATGAATGTGTGCCCGGCCTCTGCTGCTCTGGGCATGTAGTGACAGACTCAGGCTGTTGAGGGCAGGGGCGGAAAAAAGAGGCACCAGGGTGCATAAAGTCGTGATGCATTTATGGTGAAACAGTTCCAAACCCTTGTTAGGGTTAAAATAGTTTTAGTATGTGACTCATATAGGCTATAACTAGGCCTATATCTCTGTGGTAAAAACAAGGTAGAGGCCAACTCTAACCAGGGGACAGGTAGGCTAATTATTCCAAATTTAAACTTCTAAATATGGCGTCTGGCTTTCTCTCTCTGGACATGCTTAAGTTGATTGGATGAAAGTTGAATTTTAAAAAAGATACGATAAGAAGAGGTGAGATGAGAAAATATAGAGAGGAGAAAAGATGAGACATGAAGAGAAGAGAAGGGAAAGGAAAATGTGAGAAGAAACTGTTACAGTAAGGCAGAGAAGAGATGCAAAAGGAAGAGATGAGGGATGAGAAGAAATGAAACAGTGAAAACAGATTGGAGAGATAAGACTAGAAGAAACAAATGGAAGGAAAAAAATGAATAGACAAGAAAAAAGAATATAGTAAGGTTGAAAGAAAGGTTACAAAGAAAGGTTATAGAAAGAGAGACTAGAAGAAATTTTTATCACATTTTATGTAGTGATGGATAAACAATCTGTTCACTCGGTTTCTGATGTTTTCATATTAGCTGCATTTTCTCTGGAATTGCTTCCTGTACCTTTTAATTAGCCTAATTTAACTTGCAAATGCAAACATTACCATGTCCTGCATGTTGTCAGTCTACACCATATGAATCAAGGGAAAAAAACTTTTGTTTGGTTGAATTTGCCACTTGTCTGTGATTTAGATTGTCTTGTTTTGACTTGAGTCAAATGGACAGCCGGTCCACCAGGTGAAAGAAGTCAAGTGATGTCTACCACTTAGCACCAGCATTGCTGTTGGGTTTCTTATTGCCTTTTATAAGGATGGTTAGGAGCTCTCCTTTCATGTTCTCTTGAGGCTTTACTGTGTCAAGATGTTGTAGCTGTCATCCACCAGCTGATGGCAGAGCACGACAAAACAACTCAGGGCTGTTGAGAGAATCTGAAATAGGACATAGGGGTAAAACAAGTGTTACAGCTGTGCTTTTGTGAATGAACATGGAACATGACTCATTGGTATGGTATAGTGGAAGAACCCTTTTTGAGATAGGACTTTATTAAACCTAGTGAAGAAATTCACAAAATTAATCACAAATTGAAAATGTTACTATGTTGTACTATACTTCTCTAAAACATGTTGTTAATAAATAAATAGATTTTTGTCCAGATTACCAGGTGGTTATATTGTCCTTATGGATTTAGGAGAAAGATAGACTGTCAAAGCAAGCTAGTGTGGAGGGACATGTGCACTAGCAATATGTGTTTTTCATAACTGATCTATAGAACATTAACCACATTTTGACCATGATAATTTGCTACAACCGTATATAAGTGTGTGTTATCAGGAAGTGGTACTGTCTTTTTGTCTGTCCAAATCTAACAAAATAACAATTTAGAGGGGAATAATCAAAGGCTGTAAAAAGTGTATTCGTCTTTACAGCCTTTATTAATACAAGGGAGGGAAGATATTAAAGTTTCTGATGAGAGCAAAATCCATTTCTGTGGTCAATACAACTGAGCACTGTGCACCAAGTCAAGTTTCCCACAGTGGAGTTGACCTACTAAAACAGTGATACTTAGTGCAAATGCAGTCTGTTTCCAGGTGTCTGCAGTCACTCAAGGAGCAGTGATTACTTGACTCAACAGTGCCTGGTTTACGGCACAAACATTTTTTCCCACACTTTCGAACAGCTGGTCTCCTTGAAGCTTCCCTGTGTAGGATTTTGACTGCCACACGGCTCCTTCAAGTGAAAATAAGTTTTTGTAAACACCAGTAGTGGCGATGTCTGCTCCCTTTATTGATCGCAAAAGGTTTTAGAAATGCATAGGATTGGCTCCTTAATTTATCAGAATATCAACAACAATCACAACTATAGGATTAGATTTCAAATGAATGTTAACATGATATATTACACCACTATACATTATTGGGCATTATTTAAATAGATGTTTTAAATCATATCATTTGTAAACAATGCTGATTTTTGCACCTCTTCTTTGTGGAACGCTGCAGAAACTGATCTGAATTTATACTTACAATGAGTAATGGGGTTACTACAGGTCAAGCTCTTTAAAAAAATGCTAAAGCTATACCAAATACCCAAATGGCTGAAAAAAATTCCAGTTGCAATTTACAAGTCCTGCAGTCCAGAAACCACTTACGTGACACTTGCAGCTACAAGGTTACGGAGAAAATTGTTTATTTGATAAGGGACAATGTACACTGATCAACATTCAAAGCAAATGTAAATGTACTTAGCCACAGGCTAGTTTTCATGGGTTATCTCATGATTATGATGTTACAGAGGGACGGGAAATGAAAACATGTGCTGAGCTGCTACAGTAAAATTTGTCGAAATATTGATAGCATGCTTTTTGAATTTATCTGGAAAAATCATACCTATTATAGCAAAAAATCGTTAAGTGTTAATAATTTTAAATTGTAATTACAATGTGGACAAACTCCCTGTGAAACTATCTGTATTCCACAAGCAGGTACTTTAAGCATGGTCTCCGATTTATAAACACAATTTCTATTTTTCTTTTTTTTTTTTGAGAAATGGGTACAGAATCAGATTTTGCAGGTGAACCAGCTATTTGAAGGAAAGGGGCAACTGCTCTCTTATAGAGAGTTTTTATCAACATACAATATTCCAGTTACGCCGATAGAATTTGCATTAGGATTTTAGGCATGCTAATGCTTTTTAGAAATACAGGCAGACCTCCACCTACTTCTGTCTCTCTCCCCAATCTAGCTGAGTCACCAGTTGGAAAAATGTGTTTCTCCCAGCATCCTCGAAAGAATAATAAGAACAAACATGCCTTGTTTCAGAGAGAAATTGTATTTATTCCACATGTTATATCATATTGAAATCAATTTGTTAATGACACTGACTGGAAAAAGTCTGGATGATTCGTCACAAATATATGTTTTTATATACCTGTATACTGTTCTGTATACTTCTGTTTATTCCATGTAAACTATGCAATAAAGATTTAGAGGGGGGATAAAAACATGCTGAGCATGCTACCATATTGTGTTGTCATGTGTTTAATCTTCATTTCTTAAACCTGAATTTAGGGTTTTACGGGGTTAAGAAGTGCCCCAAACATGAGTAACCAACTTGACTCCCCACAGTGCAGCATTAGTTTCATTTCTCTTATTTTGTGACACACTGGGAATTTCCCACAAGCTGCATGTATTGAATCATTTTGTGCACATGGGATTTATCACTGAGCTCCAGATAAGAGCAATCCAACATGCAACAGATAGATCTGGGTTCACGTCAGAAGCCATAACCTTTCTGTACACACAAGTTCTCTTTTCACAGCTCATCCTATTATTTTCAACATGTCTTTTCAGTTTCATGCCTCCTCGTCAAGGAAAGGATTCTGTGTGAACTGTGAGATCATTTTAGGTGGGCTTGAGTTGTACTCATACATCTGTGTGCATGTGTAATAAAGTCATTGAAGGAGAATTCAGCAGCTTGACTCTGATTTCATGGCACATTTTATGTTATTTGGTGAATCACTTCCAGCAATGTTGCGTATATATATACTTCTTGACTCTCAGTGGAGGTGCATCCAAATGGACACGATGATATGGATTTGCCGTATGAAAAACCACAGCAATTATGTGTTCTGAGCTGCATCTAGTTCTTGGTATCCAGAGATGTTCTTAACCATGTGCTGGTTAGATAACATCTGCATGCACTTTGAAACTCTGTAATCGGAAGATAGTGCAACAATAAAGATAGGAGTTCCTCTGCCATGCAATTAGGCTTATTAAAGTTCTGATAATACTGGGCCCTCAGCCATAGATAAATGGATTTTAATCCATTAAGTACACACACACAAATGCTTGAAAGAATGAAGGATAGGGATCAGACACGGTTCGTACAGTGGCCACTCTGTATGAATTATTTCTTATTTTATAAAATAGCAATGAATCTATCCTTCATGAATCAGTGAATCCATAACCCACACTGGCTCCACAAGAATTAATTTAAATAACCTTTAAACCTTTTCTGACATATTATAGTGTCATATATGAGGATTTTTGAGATTCTTGAATCTGTAAGGAGACTGAGAATCCCTCATGAGCTGAAAAATGAATGTCTGTGTTGAAATCAAAGCCTTCAGGGCTTCTTCACAGTTTTATTTATTCACAATATGTGACCAGCCTGACACATAATCAGAAAAGATGAGAAACAAATGGGTCCTTTCCATCTTTATAGTTTATACAGGAAATGACTCAACTAATGTCTCTGCTGTGCGGCGCATATAGTATTGGTCTGAATCGGGCCTCTGCATGAGGGTCTCCTTTCCTTTCTTCCCACACATTCATGTCCCTCACCACTTTGAAACTTGTGAATGGTTTAGTAAAAACAACAACGTCCCACAGACAAGAAAAAAAGAAAGACAGAGAGAAATCAAAAGAAATTCACATCACATCTCTGTCAACTTTGAACTGCCTGATGAAGGTAAAAGTGTCAAAAGAAATCATCTGAGGAGAAAAGAAAATGGCTTTCAATTATTTGACTATATGCTGACTTTCCCCTCTTTCCTCAGAGGTGTACTTTGAATACTTTGAAGTCGAGGCAGTCATGGGTGGATTGTGTTGATGATATTCATTTTAGAAATTAGAAGACAGACTGTTGATTCTACTTTTTCTGTACTGAAATGGACAGCTCTGCCACTGAAAGAATCTCTTCCCCAATGTGATAATAGATATGTAATTGCATGTGTGCATGTTCCTCTTGTGAAACTACTCTGCTATTACTTAATCGCTTTATGGTGTGTATGCTTAGAAATAGCACAAAACAAATGCTTCAGTTATGGCAATAAAGATAAGAAATGGTGAGGCGAAGTTCTGCTATGGGAAAGCAAAAAGATTTTGTCTTTGTTCAACTTTGGTAATGGATGGAAACTGAGGTAACGTTTTCACAAAGAAACTGAGGTCCACTTTGACCACTTTTGAGATAATGAAAATTGAATTTAGAGAGTCTGACTTTTGTATAAGTTTGGCAGACTCACTAAGTGAGAAAGGGCACTTATTCCCACCTTTTTTTTGCTTGTGTGCTTTTGATGAAGAAAATTGAACTGGTGGAAGAAATATATAAATAGCAAAATATACTTAAAGTAATAAAAGTTAAAGTACTTACGAAGCAGAGTGTTAAATTATGGAGCCTTCAAGGTCCAAAATGTTGATTTTTTAAAAAAACCTTTCTATACAAAAGATAATAATGTGTACACACAAGTTATTATCATATGCAACAAGATAAAAAAAAATCTGGACTTCAGTATCTGCTGTTTTGTTTCCAACTTTATCATTCTGTTAAGTACATAATGACCTCACCTAAATATAATCAGAGCTTCAACCTGATTGGTCTAATCAGCAACATAACTGAAAACACCTGTGAAGGTCTGTGGGGCCTTTAATCTACAACTATGCGTCATAGTTAATAAGTTGATCAGATGTTTTCTTTGTAAAATCAAAGCACTTAAATAAATGTAGAGGAGTAAAATGTACAATATTTACCCCCAACATGTAATGGAGTAGAAGTTTCAAAGTAGCTCACAATGGAAATACTCAAACAAAACAAGTACAGCACTTAAGTATATGGGCTTGCTTACTTTCCACAAAGACAACCACAAATGTCAGCCTCATGGTGGCGCTAGAAGAAAGGTCGGGTGATCATCAAAGTCTATATGATTCATCCTCGAGGGACCATGAACGTCTGTATCAAAATTTCATGGCAATCCATGTAGACATTGTTGAGATATTTATGTATTACATATATAAGTGGTGTTCCCAACAACCGACTGACAGACCAACACTACAGTCCCTACAGTCATGTTGCTTTCATGGCTAAAAATAACCATAGTGTAGCAGAAAATTTTTTTCTTCAAATATGTTGACGTTTCCTTATTGATATTCATTAGAACTGTGAAATATATGCAATTGGTTTGTTTTCATAATTGAGCTGATGAGTGGAGAAAGAAGCAGTTTTATGTTTGCATCACCCTGAGTGAAAAATCTATTCAAACAAACTTGAGCTTTCTACTGACAGTGACAGATGGATTTTAAAACTGGACTCTCTCCACCTTCTTCCTTGGAAAGCAATAAAAAAAAAATGCTGTAAATCAACCCTATCCAACAAAAGATGAATGTGAAACCACACAGGGAATCATTCCTGACTTGTCCTGATGACATCAAAGGTCACTGGGCTCCATGTGTGCAACTTTGAGCAGTTAATCTGACAGTGAGTCTTCCTGTTGTGCTGATTGGCTCTGAGCTATCTGCTAAACACTGGATTGGACAGTGATCAGCTGCGTTTGGAAGTGCAGTTATGTGATATGGCATTTCAGCTGTGTCCCTTGCAGCAGATTTAGGCGTTCCTCCAAGAAGCTTAAGCCACAGAGAGGAACGTATTGATCTGATTGTGTGTTTTTATTCCTGTTGGATAGTTTCACTGTAATTTCATCACCTGCCACTTTAATGTTGGACTCGCTGACTACAGACAAGGTGAGGCACATTTGTAATCGGATAACCGGGTGCAACTATTGGTTTGTGTGTAAGAGAATGATTCCAACTGAAACACAACAGTTTTAGAGTAGTGGATTTTTATTGATTTGACTTTGTCAAATCCAAGTGTGCAACTGAGTTTTTGCAACACCCCAACTGATCAGACATTAGTCATATTCAGTGGGGCACCCAGGCTGGCTTTTCCTCTGAGAAAACAACACCTCAACTAAATACCAGTGGTGCAATTTAACTAAGTACATTTACTCAAGTACAAATTTGAGGTACTTCAATACAATTACTTTACATTTTTAGTTACTTGTTACTTTACAAATTATTTTTTACATAAAAATAAAAAAACATGAAGCTTTGTTATAGATTAAACTACTCAACGGTATATACAAGTAGAGTTTAAATGATTAGTTGATTAATCAATTGATTGATTAACAAACTTGAGTATTTCCTTCTACAGTACATTTCAGAGAGAAATGTTTTGTCTTTTTATACCACTACATTTATCTGACAGCTATGATAACTTTTGTGATTTTGCTGCAAACCGCTTTGGCAACATTGTTTAACCTAAACATTCATACCGATAAAGCATATTGAATTGAACATTGAAACAGTGTGGCTCATTGTCATGTTTCAGATGAATCATTAGCAGCTCCACCGAAGAGATTTTTCCCCTCTAAACTTCTCACACTGATGCATCAGTATTAATAATGTCAGATGGAATCATTTATCAGTCACAGGAGATATTTTACTGCCAAATTGGTACTTTTACTTTTGTTAATTTAAGTACTTTTACAGCTTATACCTTTGTACTTTTACTGAGGTAGGATTAAGAATGCTTGGCTTTTAATTGAAGAGAGTATTTTTACATTGTTGTACTTTAACCTAAGTAAAAGATATGTTGCTTAAAACCCATTGCTCAGAGTAGTTCTTTGTTTCAGGTGCACGGTGGGATGGACCTCATTGACCTCCTGCTCAGGAACACAGATGAAACCCCAGGTTGCCACAGCAACCAACCATGGATCACAATTCATGACGTGAGTTTGGTGGAGGCAGAGTCACTCCGGGAACAACATAATCACAACCACAAATTCACTGAATCTCATTATGACAACCCGACCGCGGTGTGATCTGTATTCTCAACACATTGTTTTTGAGCTGAATCTTAGGACATACAGGAGTGATTGACAGCGATGAGGCAAAGAGTCACGGGCAAATTAGTTCAAGTATTTAAATGGCAGGTTTGTTTATGTTCTTGTCTGTGCTCGTGTGATGGAATATGATTGTCTGATTAAATCGGTCAATCCAGCAGTCGTGGTGTCATGGGATGATATTTACATACCCTCCTCCTCCACAGGCCCTGAGCCCCGAGGGAAGTGCTGCTGATGACTTCCTGGACACCCTATTAGATGGGAGCAACTCCTCCTCGGCTCCAGCATCCCCCCTGTGGTCACCCTGCACCACCGACAGCGGCATCAACGAGGACCCCCCAGCAGATGCCACAGAACGCCTTCATCCACCCTCCTGCACAGCTTTTCCAGCCTTCGATGCACATTCTTTCCCTCAGGCTCCACCTCTGCAGAACCAGCCACCACCAAATGAACAAAACTCTGATGTCACCATTGATCTAGGTAAGACTAAAAAGAAAGTTATGTGAAACGCTCAACAGTGAGCGCAATAACAAGAGGAACAAGGTAAACCAGAGCACTAGACAGGTGTAAAACGAAGACCTTGGTGTGTGAGATTTTTACGATTGTAATTTCTGTTGCGGAATAATGAGCTATTGACTGAGCCTTGTGACATTTAAGGGCCCTTTCAAAGAGCAAGTCATTTGTTTTCCCCATTTCTGAGGATTTGTAAAGAATAAAAGGCAAGTGTCATTCTCAGGTGAGGAAATTGTCTTTTGAGGGCTGCTTTTGAATAACAGCCCCTTTTCACGTTACCGATTCTTGACCCCCTCAATGCTAAAAATACTGTGAAATTGACTGAGCAAACCAGATCTGCAGCAACACAAAGATATCAAAGGCAGAGAACAGTGTGACATATATTTTTGATTTGTAAAAAACAGCACGGTGCAGCAGTCACACATTTACATCACTAATTTAAAACACAGGGAGCAGCCTAAACATTTTCTATTTCATTTGAATGGCACATGGAGGCAATTTTGTGAATCATCACCTGATGTTTTACTGGTTCAATCTGCAGGCTGGGAGTCCAGTGACCTCCAAGAGCAGTTTGGCATTGGATACTACCTACGAACTACGAACCAAACCTGCCCTCTGTCGTCCACTCAGACACTCACAGTAAAAGACCTGCTGCTATCCAACCTGAGACAGACAGTAAGGAGAGAAGAGTTAAATGTTTCTGTGAAAAAATGACATTTTGTCAAGCTTTCTAACCAATGGGGGTATTAAATAAAATTAATTCAGTCTCAGTATTTTAAATAAATACAATTTGAACTAATCGTACAGTCCACTGCTTCTCTGTATAACTTGCCTAGAGACCAGACCTGTCTCGTTCTGAGAAAACCAAATTTATTAATTTTATGAACTGGTCCACTCCAGTACCTTCTTTGGCTGAACTGCCCAGAGAGTCACTTTAACTGAAATATTCTGTCCATCTGCTTTATATTCGCAGCAAATCCCCCAGCATTCCTTGCAGGAGCTTGTACTTAATGAGGATGAAAAGAAACTTCTGGCTAAAGAAGGGGTGAACTTACCCAGCAAACTGCCACTGTCCAAGGTACATGAGCAAGACACACACAGACATGTATGTAGGGCAGATGTCTTCCATACACACACACACACACACACACACACACAAACACAGATGCATCTAAATTTAAATCTGTATCCCCAGTTACAAATATCTTGCAGTCCTCACCGCCCCCACCCCACAACCCAGTTTCCCCTCACTTACCCCTTTCTTCTTCATTCTTTCTTGACCCGATCCTCACATGCGTTTCATCTCCCTGACAAGTTTGAAGAGAGGGTTCTGAAAAAGATCCGGCGGAAAATCCGCAACAAACACTCTGCTCAAGAAAGTCGGAAGAAGAAGAGGGAATATGTTGATAGTCTGGAGGGAAGGTAAGAGCCGGGTGCACTCAGCAGCGCCATTCACCACCACATTATCTCTGCATACCATAGCCTAGAAAATTAAACTTTTATCTATAGTCATTTGTTGTGCTCTGAAGCACTCTATAATTAGCCTGTTTCGTTATACACTTAATTAACTTTAACAAACTGTTGCATGGATGGGATGTGAACATTGTTAAAGAGGTAAATGTCCATTTTTCTATTTCATATCATTGTTGAGTTCATGAAAGCTTCTTCATTTGCTGATACGTGATACTTTGAAAAAGCTCAAGCTGACAGAAGTGGTTTGTTGGAATAAAAGGATAAAGGGCTGTGTTGAGATAGCTGTCATGGCTGACCAAACAAAAAAGACCAGCTGCTTACAGAAACTCAAACTTTTTCCAAGACAAAAAGCCTTCACAAAGTGAATTGATATTTGGGGAATTCAGCGCCAGAACACCACAGAAATAACAGAAAGTTATTGCTAATGGTGTTAAAATAAAAACACAAGAACCCAGCAGATTTTTACTTTGACTATCCACTAATATTGTTCATTATGATTCAGAAACACTGATAATTGAAATTTAATTAATTAAATTAACACAGACTTGAGAACATTGCAAACTACAGAATTACTAGCTATAAAAACATTTTCACTAGGATAAAAGTGAAAACAATTAGCATAAATGATAATAAAGGAATTGTGTCAAGTTATTAAGATGGTAAATAAAAGTACTTTGAGATTATGATGAGTAAAATGTTTGTCCCAGTTGCTCATGATTGTCCACAGAGTGCCATACAAGAGCCAAGACATAAGTATGCATGCTTGGTAACAAGAGTCTGCAGCCAAGCTAGTGGTTCTGTGAGTCTGTAGCCTGGTTAGCCGACTTAAGAACAGCTGACGATGCTGGGAATGTAATTTGTTTGCAGGTTTATGGTTTTTTTGAGTTTGACCTGGTGATGGAGCTATAGATAAAAGATCAGAGGTTCACCAAAGACTTTACAATTCATCCTTAGGGGGACATGAATGTTTTTACCACATTTCATGGCCATCCATCCAATAGTTGTGAAGATGATTTACTGAGAACCACAAATGTAAATGTGATGGTGGCGCTAGAGGAAAAATCAGGAGATCAAAAAAGTCATTATGATTCATCTGGCCACCATGAATGTCCACCAGATTTCATCTTAACCCATCCAATAGCTGTCAAGATCATTTACTCAGATTTGAAAAGGCATTAGGATTCATCTTAACCCATGTTATAGTTGTTAAGATATTTCAGTCTGAACGACAGAGGTGGACTGACAGACCGACATTGCCATCAACATAACCACACTGAGTATAGAACGACAGACTTTCCTATCCACATTTAGAAACTCAAACAGTGAACTATTGGGTATGCAACATTAAACAGATCAGGATATAAGCATTAGTGCTGTGCACATCACCAAAGAGTGACATGCTCTAGGCAATTATAATTTTAATCTAGGCATTTTAATTATCCTGATTGTTAACCGAGCATATTGTGGATTGTGGACATACATACATAAGAGGATGATTTAGTCATGTCTAGTGTAAAAAAAACACATTTATACTACCATATATGAAAACATAGGTGGCTAAGAACTGCCATATAATGAATGAACAGTCTCAGCGTGTGAAGGTTTTCCTGCACAATCAGAATATTTTACATAAATATTGCAGCTGTGAGCTATCTTTGTCTTATCTGGGGTCAGCTGGACAGACTGTATAGTTTGATAGCCAGCGGCACAAAAGAGCGGCTAAACCGCTCTGCATTGCAGCTGGAGGGGGACACTGAGAGGAAGTTGAAGATGCTGTGTAGATGCATCATCATCTCACAATAGAGACACAGGAGGAATTTTTTGCCAAGATGGAGCTCAGTTTAATCCCTCTCCTCCTCCTCTTCTCTACCTCCAGGCTGTGCAGAATGAGCCCAACCACACAGCCAGCTCTTTGTCACCAAATTTGTTAATCCTGCCTGTCCCGCCCCCCTCCCCCGTTGGCTCTTCTGCCACATCACACCTCCGCAGACAATGAAGATTGGTAGAGCTTGTCGTCTGATTCATATTTTGAAAGACTCAAAAAGGGTAGTGCAGCAATTCCCCCACATGACTCTGTGTGTCAGACCCCTCTTTTTGTTCATCAGCCTTCCTGGGGGATTTGAAGGATTGCTTGACTTTCCTGAAGCTGACCTTCAGGCAAGTCTCCTTGCACCACTTAATTGTAAAACTTGCCATCACTGAACCATAAAGACATGACTTTTTATTATATATGAGTGCTTCCACCTTCTGTCAAACATTATTGGAAAATTGTTCTCACAAAATAAACCTTTGTGCACATACATGTTTATTTTAAAATCATTAATTATCCAATAGGAGCTTCAAATATCTAATAGTGTGCTATCGACATCTCATTCACGCTTGAGCTCTGTTGCCTCTGGACAACAAAAGTTTCATGATGGGGTGATATTGTCAGCAGAGAGCAGAGTCAGCGTTTGTTGATAATTAAGTAAGCAGAGCATATCAAACGCGTATCTCTTCAGTCGTCAGCTCAGTCAGAGGGCCATAATGGAGGGTGACTCACAGCGACTAAAAGAAACAAGAGAGAAAGCAGAAGAAGAAACGGAAGTGAGGGGTGGAGTCACTGGATGACCCAATGGGATGCGAGATAACACTCAGCAGACAGATATTGGCAACGAGAGAAACAAAGGGTTGACTTGAATGCAACATCATTACACAGTATTATCTGATACCGTTATTTCCTAATTTTATCTATACTCCTCCCATTTCTCCCATTATTCTTCTCTGCCTCTTTCTGTAGGATGTCTGCATGTAGTGCTAACAACCTTGAGCTGCAGAAAAAGATCCAGGAGCTGGAAAAGACCAACAAGTGAGTCCTCAGATGAGCCAACAAGGGCTGCAGCGGATGATTATTTCAATTATTGATTGATCTATTTATTACTTGTAGTTTGTTTTTTTTGTTTTTATAAAAATGACATAAAGTAGTGAGAATAACAATTTCTCAAGACCCAAGGTGACATCTTCAAATAGCTTGTCTGACCCACAGTGCAAAACCCAAAGATATTATTTAAACAGAGAAACAGAGAAAAGCAGCAAAATATCACTTGAGAGGCTGTAATCATGGAATGCTGATTTTTATTTAATAATAAACAAATTATCCTGATGACTGCAAATAACTAATCATGACCATTTACTAAGCCTTGCATTGGTTAATTAATTATGCAGTGACCCAGCTGACTTTTCAGTGATTGCAGTAACTTGTTTCAGAATGAAAACCCAGTAAAAAAATGCTCTTGGTGGTCACATACATGTTATGAGGCGGGTGCAGAAGCTAACGTGTTAGGCATACTTGACAGATGATGACCCACATAGAGGACAACATGAAGAAATGACATTGTTCTGGTGTTGCAGTGTAGAGTTAGTCCTTGCAATTTAGGTATGATAAGGAAATTGTTATTTGCTGGAGAGTAAACTTCCCCAGGACAGAAATACTAATATTAGCTTAAATTCTGAAAGCATCCAGGATTTGCTTCTACACTGTGGGAAAATACAACACCGTGAATGTGCTAATGCTCAGTTCATTATTATAACCTGTAACCCCACAAACTAATGTTATGTGGTCATTGGCTTTGGAAGAAATGCTCGGCTAGTTTAGGTAGTTTACTGGACATGTTAACATTGCAGTTATGTTAGAGCAGATAAACACACAGATTCATCTGTTCCTTATACTTTTGCTCTTGTGTTTTTCATTTTGAAAAGATGTAACCCTCCAAACTACTGAGTAATTAAATGCGGAGTGTTGATCTAATTACAGCAAAATGCACACCACTTCAACATATGGAGAATAGATTTAAATATTTATACTAGCATCAATAGGAGAGATACCAAAAAAACTCTTATTGATATTGGTGATCCTGGCCCTGGTATTACTTGTCATTGGATTGAAACCAAATTTTGTGATGTCGCACCCCTAATCCTAAGCTTGACAACCATCCGTAGCTAAGGTACAATTGGATAATCACTGTTAGAGTGGAGGGGTTTACCTAATGGTCATGTAAGCTCTTGAGCCAACTGCCGCTGTAAAAACAGTACTGCGAATGCATCTCAGCATCACCTCGTTCAATCTTTGCAAGCCCAGTTATTGATTCCATTGTGGGCATAACCTCAGACACAGGAAATAAACCCAACAAAATCCCCTTTCACAGTGGTGCCTTGAATGTTTTACAGTCTTGGTTCATCTTTTTCATCATTTCATCTTATTCTTGGATATTTTTTCATGTGGCTAAATTGTTTGTATGAGTCATTCCCCATTCTCTCTTTTGTGCATTTGTTGTGTGTTGCATTATGTCTGTGCAAGTTTCATTGATCTTCATTGATCCCCCACCCCACCCCACCGGCCCCTCCCTCTCCAGATTTTGACAACCTGGTTAAGAAAACTTTCTACAATGCAGGCTCATTGTAAAATAACCAGAACACAATCCCATCCAATTTTAAAACCTCACACAGTGTTCTCTGACTTTGCTTTCCCTTCATGCTGCTGTCTCATTATGCTGCTTCTTCCTGACGCTGGCAGAGTGCTGCGGTGAATTGAAACAAAACGTGGGAAGAAGCCACGAACCAACACTTCCCCGCTGCGTGTTGCTCTTCTTTCTGTTGTTTTAGTTGCCAATGATCACAGACGCTGAAAAAATGATGCCTATAGCAACCTTTGGACCCTCATGTGAAATGTCTCTTTCATCTTCCTGTCTGTGCTGTCTTGTATCGCAGTGCTCTGTTGGAGCAGCTAAGCCGGCTGCAGGATCTCATTCCTAACAGCTCCAGCAGAACAAATCACAGAGGGACCTGCCTCCTGGTGAGATATGTATAACACAATACATTAATTTATGCCATTGAGAATTTGCTCAGTATATCTGCAACAACGAAATGATAGATGTAGGCCAGTGCCTGAGCACATCATTAACACCCACTGCCTGTGCTCCACTGTTGACTGCTGCTGTGTTTACCTTTAAGATTTTAATCGAGTCAAGTGTTTCAATACCACCCGTGCTCATCTTTTGTCCAAACTGTATGTAGGTTATGCCTAATAACTTCCTTTCTTCCTTTCCCCCATCCTCTGTTGTCTGCTCTTGGCCTGTTTTTTTGTCATACTGTCTGTATTTATGTCCAGGTTTTGCTACTCTCCTTCTCCCTCCTCATTTCCTCAAATCTTTGGCCAGACCCTTACAGCCAACTCAGCCAGGGAGAGTACACACAAAGCAAAGGTCAGCAGGCATATACACACTCACGCGGTCTCTCTTTGTGATACACACACACTCACTCCTCTCCACCACGTCTCTGCTCCACAGTGCTGTCCCGCTCCCTGCAGTCGATGGGTGAAGTGAGAGAAGTCCCATCTCTTCCTCACCTCTCTGTCTCCAGGGGCTTTGAGGCACTGTATAGCCTGATGGAAGAGCGCTGACCCAGGACAGGTCTCCCCAATCCCCATCCAGCACAAGGCCAATCACTGATCTCCTCGTAACTCCCCAGGAGGGAAGATATAGCAAAGGAGTGCAGGCTCGTGGCATTCAAATGAGCAGTTTGATCATTTTCCAGCGTCTGAGGGAGTGGGGTTTTATGGTGTGTTAGGCATCCACTCCAACACACAAACAGTTATTGATAAGATTCTTCTGACTAAAATACACTCACTCAGATGGAGGTTGGCAAAGAGGTCATCCAAATTTTGCTTAGGAAAATGGAGCCTCGGGAACTTGGTGTAGTGTGTATTATATTGCTGACTGCAAGATGTATGACACAAATGTATATTCACTGCTATATTTTATTATTTACTTTTAATGTATATGTTGAAAAAACATGTCAAGAATGATTTGAGTTGCAATTTGTAACAGATCAGTGCAAAGCTAACAAAGCACAAGAGAATAAAAATAAAAATACTCAGGTGCTCTTTGGAAGCACCTAAACTAAACTACGATGTCATGTGTACAATTTGGGAGAGATTTAAATCCCAAAAATAATGAGGCAATATTTGAAACATAAAAAGTATTTGGCCCCCTAAGCCAAAGTTGCTCGATGACTTCTCACTTCCATAAAAACTCCTAATAAGCTTCCCTTTAATGCTGTCAATATGGGAAAGTGGGCATCAGTTTAAAAAACATATTGGATGTCTAAATTTTAGAGCAAAAGTCTTTGTTGTTATTATATTTGGGGAAACATGATTATAGTCCGGTCGCCTTATCTGTGTGAAGTGCCTTTTTCTAGTGCGGTCAAAGAAAAGCGCTGCAAAACCTGCTGTTTTGTAATGCATTGGAGATTTAATTGTTAGAACTGCAGTCTGTTACAGGAAGTCTGTCCATTAAAACAACAACACTTGACTGGTTATTCTTGTCTCTGGTTCGCTGGTGCAGCGCCTCACAGAATGTTCTGTCCAGAAGAATAACAGTGTTTTATTCCTCATCTCTGTCAATTCAGACAGCTTGTCTATTTTACAGATTCGTCTTCGCAGGATCCCAGCTGTAAATCTATAGCAAATTTTGGATCTCAAAACCCAAAAGCAAAGAAGAGACAATACTTTATCTCTGCCCATATTCACCAATACACAAAGAGAACATGTAGTGTACTCTACTTGATTAACTTGATGCCTTCCCAGTCAAAGAATGAGGGCAACATCAAGGTCACGTGTGGATTTATTTTTGAACCCCTGATGTTCAGGCAGCCTCTGCTCAGTAGGTGGACTCAGTTAAGGTCAGCCCTACAAGATGCTCTTTATGTGTTGAAGTTTTACTGGGATACAGTTTGCAGATGGGGCCATAGCTAATATAGAGGAGAATGGGATCATATCCTTGATTAGTATGACATAAAGAGTTTAGATTCTATGATTATGCACATGTTGGGTTTTTCCATGGAGATATTTTTTCAATAAAATTTGACAGGCAGACAAGTCTAGGCACAGCAGCTCTTTGAGCTAAATGCTAACGTCAGCATGCTGACGTGCTCACAGTGACGACGGTAACATGCTGATGTTTAGCGGGTACCATGTCCACCATCTTAGTTTAGTGTGCATGTTAACATCTGCTAATTAGCACTAAACACACACCGGAGGCTGATGGCAATGTCTGTAGTTTTGTAAGTATTTAGTCATAAAACAAAGTATTTGACACATTTACATATTGAATCTGACTAACAGATGAAAGGTCAGGTGATCATCATAACACCACAATTCATGACAATACATCCAATAATTTACTTGTTGAGAAGTTTCACAATGTCAACCTGATGGCGATGCAAGATGAAAAATCAGGGGATCACCAAAGTCAGTTGGCTCATTGGTCATTGCCATCCCTAGAGCAACTCCACTCACATGTGAAGGAATTTAATATTCTCAACCACAGTTAGCCTGCATACCTGGTACCAAACCACAACGTATGGAGATCAAACTTATCAGAAAATATAATTATTAGCAGTTAAATTGATAACTAAAATTATTTTGTTTAATAATACAAATTCTACAGTTTGGTTGGTCACCAGTCAACATTTTTCTAGTTGGGTGGGGTTCTGTGGGATAAAAAAGGGCTTATGACTTCAGTATTTCTAAAATCCAGGCTGTTTGCAGAACAGGTTTCATTTACATTTCACAGTCCTCTCTGAGTGCTATTTGTTCAAGCTGTAAAAGATGTGAGGAGGTGGACACAACTTTTACCATCCAAAAACGGAATGATTTCAGCAAACCTGAACCAAATGTGAATATGCTGCACTAAACCACACAGGGAGTCAGAAATGAATTATTGATCAGACTGCTTTAAACTGGATGTTGTGGTGGTGTGATAAAGATGTAGGTGGAAATTCAAGCCCAATACCAATCATGTAAGATTTGAGCAGAGGTGCTGCTACCTGATGGGGGAAACAGGTCACAGCAAGAAAAGATCATTAATTCAGGTCATCTTGCAAGCTTAGCTTGTCCATTTGTGGTTTTGTGAATGTTTAAGTGAAGAAGCAGAAAAAGTATCAGAGAAAGAGTTTTTTGTTTTTAAAAAACGAGAAATGATTGACCCTGCGACCCTGTACGCAGGATAAGCGGTTGACGATGGATGGATGGATGGAAATGACTGCAAAAATCCTTACTCTTTCTTTTAAATTGCATAACCAGTGGACTCTTTGGGTGGACGTATTGATCAATTTTTGACTGACTAGATTCTGGCTTTAGCGGATATTTGAAATATTTAATGATTTTCCCCCTTTTGGAATAAAGGACTTTCTTTCTAATAAGATCTTTGCTCATTTGGAGAGGTTTATTCCACTGATGCTATATTTTATGCATTGCAGCCATGTGAAGATGGAGCCATTCAGTCTGTGAATTTAAATAACTATCAGCAACGTCAGTATCGCCCTATCTCTTTGTTTTTTTAAGTGCCATGAAAAACAAACTGATGAAAATTAAATCAGACATATTTAAGTGCCTTGAAAAGCTTCAACAGAATGCTGATGAGCATCTTCACAGAGAGCTTCAGGGTCAGACACCAACCATGTCTGCAGTTCCATCCATCTCAATATTAGTAAAATATTAAAGCAAAATAAGGTTACTGTCAACTAATTAGTGTTGTTTTCATTTGAAATGCTTCCTGAATTCTTATGAAACCAGACAAAGTAATAAATTGCTTCCAACTGACTTTAAAAAGGACTCTGCTCAGGGACACGATGTCAGACTCTCTGCTGCTGGTGAAAGGATCTGTACAAATTGTTTGATAAGTTACAGACTGACCAAGCAGGTCCTGTCTGGGTTATTGAGGCTGCTTAAGAAAATAACTCCCCTTTCTTTTCTTTCTAAGGTACACACCGCTGGCCATGGTTGTGCATTGTGTGAATACCAACAGTGACCTATAAGAAATGCTAATCAAACACACACACACACACACATCTCTCTCTCTCTCTCTCTCTCTCTCTTTCTCTCTCTCTCTCTCACACACACACACACACACACACAAAGACTGAAATTGTTTTTACCATTGCTCTGACAGGCAACATTTCAGATGCACATTAACAAACACCCCTGTCGGCTGAGGAAACCTTTCTGAAAATACCATCATTTTATCTTTCCATCAAATGCAGGAATATTAAAGGTGATATTTGGGCATAAAATCAGGGACCCAGATTAGCTGGCAAAAATACAAACAATGAAGAGGAGGCTTATAGGAAGAGGCTATACAAATACTGAACTAAGGTGGAGAAAAAGTTGTAATCCAAAGAAAGCTCAAACAGGCCTACACGTTTTTCTGAGCTATCATTAAAAAAGGCTTTCCACTCCATACAATATAACACAAGGCTTTCTCTGTTTGTTTACCCATGAATCACCAGGCTTAGCTTCATCCCTGTTTAACAGAACAGAACAGATAGTGGTGCTTCTTCATTCCTGCCCAGTATCTGCTCCAATAATCATACCTACTGCATAGTCTATTGAAGCCCTAAACAGTGCGCCATCGAGCGGTGGAGGAGAGCCTCGGCGAGTATAAAAGCCTCGAGTTTTCACATCGCTGTCAGCATCACCGAAAGAACAGGCGGCTGCATCACTGCAGACTTCAGCCCAAATGCTCTTAAGTAGGCTGACACGGATTGATGAACTTTTATGTTTCCTAAAGCTATTAATTTTTTTTCGCTTGTAAAAACATATAAATGCGAGCAGAAACGCGTTTAGGCTTAGAAGTCACTTCAAGTCATGCAACTCTGATCTCCCGCTGATACTTTGAATACGACTAAATACAGGAGCTGACTATGGGGATTTTTGCAGCCTCACCTGCGCGCACACATCCTGGAAGTTAGCCTGAAAGAGGAGGGACACCCACAGAACTTGTTTGTAAAACTCGCCTTTTTCCCCTCTGCAGAACCATGCAGAGCAACAGCAGCGCCTCCGGACCCCTCGCCGCTCTGAGTGTGTGCGGAGGAGAGGAGGATGAACGCGAAATCTTCAAACTTGTCAGCCCCACAGATGCAGCCTCCAACCTCGCAGCTTTTAACCTTTCACTGAACTGCTGGCTTCACATCCTCTCCAAGGAGTCCTCCATGGACCTGCATGGAGACAGCGCGAACCTGGCAGTATGTTAATTTAAGGATAAATTAAATAAATCCAAATCCATATGGATAAAATGAGTACTGTTTCTGGCAAAATAACCATATTGCATGTATCCCCTCAGCATATGTGTGTTTGAAGGTGATTTTATTCATGCATGCATGTTGTCTTTTGCCTTAAATTTCCATTTTTGTGACTATTTAGCAGCTCCAAGATGAGTCCTGTTTACCAGAAAACACAAAATAAAAACGCCATTGTATGTGTTTGACAGGTGCGAGTTGTCATTGCACTGGTCTACCTAGTGGTGTGTGTGCTAGGGCTTGTGGGTAACCTCCTGGCGCTTTTCCTGCTCCACTCCCGCCGCCGGGGCCACCACTACTCCTCCATCGACTGCTTTGTGATGAGCTTGACGCTGACAGACCTCCAGTTTGTCCTCACATTGCCATTCTGGGCTGTGGACACGGTGCTGGACTTCCGTTGGCCCTTTGGACGGGTCATGTGCAAGATTGTGAGCTCGGTCACCACCCTGAACATGTATGCCAGCGTCTTCTTCCTCACCGCCATGAGCATGACCCGCTACCACTCCCTGATTACCTCTCTAAAGATGGACAGCCCTAGAATCGCCACTGCTCGTGCCAAATGGGCCAGTTTGGCAATTTGGGTGGTGTCACTGGTGGCTACACTTCCTCATGCTTTCTACTCCACCACAGTCCAGGTTTGTTCATTCAAGACTATGAACCACCACACCTGATTTGATTTATTTCCAGTACTTTCTTTCACTTTTGGGTTAGTAAACTCTTATGTAGTTGTGGTTGTGTTTACAGGTGTCTACTGATGACGAGCTGTGCTTAGTGCGGTTCTCTGACTCCGATTCAAGCTACTGGGATCCTCAAGTCCTGCTTGGACTCTACCAAACACAGAAAGTACTCTTGGGATTTGTAGTTCCTTTGATTGTCATCTCTGTGTGTTACCTCCTCCTCCTGAGGTTCATCCTGAGCCGGCGCATTGTAGGCAGCATGGTCAGCGGAAATGTGACAGAGAGGTCAGAGTGTGAGAGAGGACGCCACCGTCGCCGCTCCAAAGTCACCCGCTCTGTCACCATTGTAGTTCTGTCCTTTTTCATCTGCTGGCTTCCCAACCAGGCTCTCACCATGTGGGGGGTGCTTATCAAATTTGACCTGGTGCCCTTCAGTAAAGCCTTCTACAACGCCCAGGCCTATGCTTTCCCCCTGACAGTGTGTTTAGCTCATGCAAACAGCTGTCTGAACCCGGTGCTCTACTGTCTGATCCGGAAAGAGTACAGAGCTGGACTGAAGGAGCTTCTGCTGAGCGTGTCTCACTCCGTCCGAAATGTTCTCACTCTGGCACTGAGAGGGAGGAGAGTGGATGAAGCACCGCCCAGCCTGGTTATGATACACAAAGACATCAATATGTGATTTACTGTATAAAATGAATAATTTGACATTTTGGGAAATACAATTATTCACTTTCTTGCTAAGAGTTAGATGAGAATATTAGAGGTCCAGTGTGTAATATTTAGGAGGATCTATTGACAGAAATGCAATATAATATACGTAAATATGTTTTCAGTGGTGTATACAGACCTTACATAATGAGCCGTTATGTTTTCATTATTAGAATGAGCCATTTCTATCTAAATACACCGCAGGTCCATGAGGGTTTACAGAGCATGTTTCATCACTATGCTGAATATGTACTAAGAAGAAGAAGAAGTGGTAGTGGTAGTAGTAGTAGTAGTCGTCTGGTTTGTTAGAAGTAAGACGAGAAGTCAAATTTGGAGGAATAGAGCACCACACGTATTATTCAGCAAACGCCAACAGAGTGCGTCAGCCACCGCAGCTTCTACTATGTGCTTGCAAAGGGAGGGGTGAGCGCTGATTAAGCTGTTGGTTGCAAATTGCAACCCTCACCACCAGATGCCACTAAAACTTTAACACTGAACCTTTAATATCATCCTCATGTTTGGACCCTAATGGTGCGTTCCATTTGCCTCAGAAGTCGGAGGTCGGAGCTGGGAATGACGTCACACCTGAGTTGTACACAGAAGTGCTAATAAACAGTATAAACTACAGCTTTTACTAACTGTTGATGCTCAGAGCAGCCATCTTGGGTCACGAAGTCAGGGTAGTGCGGTTCTCCTGACTTCAAGTCGGAAATCCGATTTCAGTGCACGTTCCCTTTGAAATTTCCAATGGAATTGGATTTAAAATGGAATGAACCATAAATATGAAACTACAGCCAGCAGCAGGTTAGCTTAGCTTAAGACAACAATTGAAAACAGGGGAAATGGCTGCCTGGCTCTTTCCAAGGCTAATTAAATCCACCCACCAGTACCTCTATAGCTCTTTAATGGACATGTTATATCCCATTCGTTTAATCAGTATACACTCCAAATTGAAAAAGCAACGATTTGCCATTTTACAAGGGGTAATGTGCAGGACTATTTCTTTGTGTTGGTATTTGTTTGAATTAAACAAACAAGACACACTGTGTTCATTAGTGAGATTTAGAGGTGCTGGTAGGCAGATTTTGTTTCCTTTGGACAGAGCCAAAGCTAGATGTTTCCTTGCTAACCTAGCCAGCTGCTGCCTTTAGCTTCATATTTAGCACACAAACATGAGACACTGTCATCCCTCTAAATCTATTTCAGCCCTCAAACACACACACTTTAGTAGACTCACCTGTTGCAGACAAACCTGATCATTTATGTTTCAGCTTTATTAAGAACTCCTCACCAGATATTCCACTGTGGAAAAAATCTCTCTCTCCCTGAATCACAAGTACATTGTAGAATATTATAAGTTTCCCTCGAACAAGACAGCTCTGAGTTACACTGTTGGCAGATTTTCTTTTCTCTTCTCTGCATCAAAATACAGTGGTGAACAGCTCAACATGTGAAGTGATTTTTGTACTTTGCATCTCAAACACCCACACAACCAATCACAAGGACTGTAATATTATTACATTTCCATTAGGACTGATTGACTCATATTTATTTGTGTAATTGTTGCTAACTCAGTCAGGACACTAGTCTCCCACACAAACCGTAACTCCACGATATTTGTCATTCAGTGTGTGTTTGATGCTAGCATGAAACTCTGTGCCATTTTCATGTCTCTTGTGTCTGCCTTGCCGTTTTGTGATTACAGGTATGTAATGTGACATTAAATAAAAACAAGAGGACAAAAGAGTTTAGTGACGTCTCTGGAAGTTAATCTCGTCTGCAGTCACAACAGCCAAAAAAATACGAAGATGAGTAAAATGACTCAACCGCACAAAAGCTGCTCCACGTTTATGCCCTTTTGCAACCTTTAAAGTCTGAACATAGATAACCATCTTCAGCTGCCCACAGATAGGGGCTGACATGCAAATACCACACACTCCACCACAGTACCTCCATTGTGTGTCACTGGTAATAATTACTTCTCCAAACAGAATCACGGATTTATTCCGCAGGACTCCACGTGGGAGGCTCTGATGCTGCACAAAAAGCTAGCAGGTCACCAAGGGAACCTGCATCTTCCAGCTGCAAATGGAAATCAATCAAGTGTGATTTCAGAACGGGCGTTTGTATGAAAATTCCGGCCAGCTCTCTTGTTCAGATTATTGCCAAACACTTTATTGTTTGCTGTATTACCAAAAGAAAGCTGTGGCTGACATCTCCTATTGTTTTCTCGGTTTCAGTCATTGTTGCTCCCTTAGATGAGCTTGCTTCATATTTCCACAATTTTTTCATTAAGCTTTGAGCAACAGACACAGCAGCTACAGTACATTCACTCACACCCAGATCTCACCCCTTCTTCTTTATTTCAGAGCCGGTTCACAGAGTACAAGCAATATCTCACTGGTATAAGCATTGCAATGTTATGTGTGCCCAGCTATATTATATAGTATAGGGAGCAATTTCACTGATTGAAACCACATGAGCAAATTCATGAATCCATGTATGCCCAAGTAGGGAAGATGGTTGAAAGCAATTACTGGCTCAAGATGTTTATTTTCCAAGATGATATGAATGAATAATACACTGCTCAAAAGAATAAAGGGAACACTAAAACACCACATCCTAGATCTGAATGAATGAAATAATCTCATTAAATACTCCTTTCTTTACATAGTTGAATGTGCTGACAACATAATCACACAAAAATCAATGGAAATCAAATTTATCAAGGTCTTAATTTGAAGTCACACTCAAAATCAAAGTGGAAAACCACACTACAGGCCGATCCAACTTTGATGTAATGTCCTTAAAACAAGTCAAAATGAGGCTCAGTAGTGTGCGTGGCCTCCACGTGGTTGTATGACCTCCCTACAACGCCTGGGAATGCTCCTGATGAGGTGGCGGATGGTCTCCTGAGGGATCTCCTCCCAGACCTGGACTAAAGCATCCGCCAACTCCTGGACAACATGGCGATGGTGGATGGAGCGAGACATGATGTCCCAGATGTGCTCAATTGGATTCAGGTCTGGGGAACGGGCGGGCCAGTCCATAGCATCAATGCCTTCCTCTTGCAGGAACTGCTGACACACTCCAGCCACATGAGGTCTAGCATTGTCTTGCATTAGGAGGAACCCAGGGCCAACCGCACCAGCATATGGTCTCACAAGGGGTCTGAGGATCTCATCTCGGTACCTAATGGCAGTCAGGCTACCTCTGGCGAGCACATGGACGGCTGTGCGGCCCCCCAAAGAAATACCACCCCACACCATTACTGACCCACCGCCAAACCGGTCATGCTGGAGGATGTTGCAGGCAGCAGAACGTTCTCCACGGCGTCTCCAGATTCTGTCACGTCTGTCATATGTGCTCAGTGTGAACCTGCTTTCATCTGTGAAGAGCACAGTGCGCCAGTGGCGATTTTGCCAATCTTGGTGTTCTCTGGCAAATGCCAAACGTCCTGCACAGTGTTGGGCTGTAAGCACAACCCCCACCTGTGGACGTCGGGACCGTTTGAGCAGACACATGCACATTTGTGGCCTGCTGGAGGTCATTTTGCAGGGCTCTGGCAGTGCTCCTCCTACTCCTTGCACAAAGGCGGAGGTAGCGGTCCTGCTGCTGGGTTGTTGCCCTCCTACGGCCTCCTCCACGTATCCTGATGTACTGGCCTGTCTCCTGGTAGCGCCTCCATGCTCTGGACACTACGCTGACAGACACAGCAAACCTTCTTGCCACAGCTCGCATTGATGTGCCATCCTGGATGAGCTGCACTACCTGAGCCACTTGTGTGGGTTGTAGACTCCGTCTCATGCTACCACTAGAGTGAAAGCACCGCCAGGGGGCCAGGCTGGGGCCAATTGTTTTGTCAGAGGGGCATATTCAATCCGGGACCAAAGAGACAAAGGCAATGTTCAAGCTTTCAAAATGTCTTGTTTAGTATATAATGTAATTTTTTCGTACGTTTCATAAACTTACAGTTATTGTTTCAGTAACAGGATCTTTTCAGTAACTTAGTTATAGTTTTATTTATTTATTTTGGCAGAGTGCATGTCCAGCCTGGTAGGACCAGTAAGCTACTGTTATCGCTTTTTGCGTATGAAAAGTTTAAATGCAATGCATTATTAAATTGTTATGATAATAATTTACCCTTTAAGGAAGGAATTTCCAGCAATATCCAAAGGCTATCCATGCAATGGAAACATGGATTACAAGGACAAAATGTTGTCTACAATGCTGCATTCAGTTTAATGTACATTTTGTTGCAAGGAAGATTACTATGATTACTGTAGACCATTCTCACTTTCCATGAACCTAACCAAGTCATCTCTGTGCCTAAACCTAACCAAACATTAACCATAATGGTGTCACATCATGAAACAAATGTACTTTTAATATGACAGGGATTTGAAACAGCTTCTGAAGACACAGACAGATGATGCCATCCTGTCGATAGTGGCGTCAGATTAGAAAATATGAATATGTGCTGTTGTAAAGGGCATGCGCAAACAACATATTTTGTTTTTGTTGTTTGTTGTATTTGGGGGTTTAGGTTTATCTAGTCTGTTACTGGCCACATTTTGGCCTTTGTCCTGGCTCAAAAACTGACATCCATACCAATGGTCCCATCGTTTTTCTTATCTCTGCTGCCATCTTGACTGTAAGGGAGCTGGGAGGAACAATGGAGTGAGATACAACCCTTTTTTTGTTTCCTAGGTGAGAGGTAGGTAGGGGGAGGGTTTTGTTTTGTGTGTTGAGGTTCAAGAACATGTTCTAATTAAATAACAAAATGTTCCGAATAAATAAGAATGTCCTAAATTCAGAAGTTAGGACTTATCGTCCTATTTGTTTCATTAAGTTTATACAATTAGGCGAACCCAGTATGCTCAGGCACAATATACCATTACACTAGCCTATTCGTCTTAAAGTAAACTGAGACTATACAATACAAAACCACTGTCACACTTTTCCAGAATGTCACCAGAAGGAGGCTTAAAAACTCATAATTTGTGTGTAATTATATTCCTCTCAGGACCAATACTAAGGACATGACTTCCATGTCCTTAATGATAGCTACAGCCCTGCTCACAGTTATAAATATTCACACAGACCAGTCGGATCTCTTGGACACCAGGCAGCTCTGCTGGAGGAATGGGAAATTAAAGGCCTTGCTCAAAGGCACCTCAGCTGTGGTAAGCACTGCTCTTTCATTTTCCCCACACAGATTTATCGTGCTGGTCCAGGGATCAAACCAATTACCTTACATCCACAAGCCTGCTTCTCTAGATGTGTGACATTATGTTAGCACCCATAATTTAACAATGCTCTTTCTCCTTCGTTTTACGTTACTGCAATTGCTGCTTTTTCCTTTCTGCAATATCACTTTCTGAGATCAGGTAATCCGAGTCTTGATCTTTCGGTAATACAGGTTAATGAAATGTAATGACTTTTGATACATTACAATTGCATTTCAGAAAAAACTGTTTCACATTTCACATGGCATCAATTAAGGGGAAATATTTTGAGAATTTATGCTGCACCGTGATGCACACGGGGTTGCAGCACAAGCACAAACATCAAAAACAGGCCTCTCTCAAGAGAATAATGTCCATCAAAAATTGTGGTGACGAATGCAGTTGTGTGAGAACATATTGTTGGTAAAGTGATTCCCATAAGAAACTAAAGGTTCATCCAACCTTAAATGACAAAATCTGCTCCAATTGGCAGTAACAACTCAGTGTCTCTGAACCTATCATAATTAGAAATTGGGTTTCGCGCAACAGGGCTCAAGCTCGCCCGAAATTGTCTCATCTAACTCATAGTGATTTTCTGAACTTTTTCCTACACTCTCGCCAATTTCACAGCGGTTCTTTCAGTTTGACCTAAGAGAATCTGCAGCTGCCTCCATCTGAGGCATGTTTAGACTACAAACTTTGGTTTTCTGGTTTATTGGGACTCATCAGAAAGGACAGGATGACACTTTTTCAAATAAGGGCCAATTCAGTGAAATCGATACCCAAATAGGACATCTTATATTTCTCTTTTAAAATGATTGCTGAATGCCAACACATAATTTAAGTTATCAGAAGCTTTGTTGAGAAAATGGCAATTTTAATGGGAAATCATGTGCTTGCAATATTGAGACATTCCTTTTAAGTATTTTTTTTTTCACTCTTTCTCCCTCTGCTTTCTATCTATTTGCAGTACCGCGCCTTTGACGGTGATTGCAACTTCAGCTTTCTTCCTCTGAGACTTGCTTGAGCTCGCTTATGCTGAATGCAGAGCATCTGTACACAAACACCCATTATGTCCTTCCACACATTTCTTGATGAGATTCAAGGACTCCACACACCTGATTCAGTGACTGATTTCCTCGGATACTTTGGTGCGGCAGCCATGTTGGAGCAAAAACTCATCTCAGCCTTGAAGGTCTTTGACACCCTGTAGCTCTGACCTCGTTACTTACATTCATTGTTCTAAATCTCCTTAAAAGCATCCCAGTAACTGCCAGTGAAAGTTTCTCACACAGCATGAAGCTTTCAAAGCAGGGTTCATGTTAAATGTTAATGAGCTGCGCCTGCTTTCTTTCAGATGTAGCAGTTTCAATTACAACTGAGGAGTTTGATTCTGGCTTCATCAGACCAAATCTTTGATACACAGTCTTCTGGACTCTGCGTGCCAACTGCTGGCACGCTGTCACTGACTGTCTGTCCTTATGGCCTTTCTGCCATCTAGCACAGACTTAAGAAGTGCTGCACTGTCTCTCCTTCCAGAGAGC